TTCCAAGCTTCAAATCACTCCATTTTGATCCAATTTGTCTAGCTACAAAACAACACCAAAACACGCATCAAAACATTCAAAAGTACTCAAGATCAAACTAAAAACTAAGTTTGGAAAGTGCATATTTAATTAGTTAATTACACTCATCACCAATACATTAAAATGCATCACAATTTTATTGACGTTGAATTAAGAGGCCCACTGCCACGTAAAACGATGATGATTAAAATTAATTATGAATAACACTATTATGGAGTTGTGATGAAGAATAATGGATTAGTGGACCTACTTCCATATAAATTGGTAATGATCACCAAATGGCATTCTTCTTCGTCATTTACTCATTTGTATACACCTTCAATCAAATAAATCCAACAAATCCAGGTCAACTTCAAGGATACAAAAGCATTGCTTTGGCTACACACCTAAAGTTTCTTGTTATATATAATTTTTTTTTTTCAAAATCCTAGGTTTTGCATTACAAATAAAGTTATATCAAAATATTAGGAGAATATCAGCATATCGACTCAATATAAAATATTTTGTTAATTATCATTGTACGAAATGTTGAATCGTGATGATTAGTTTACCAGCCCAACCCTGTGGTTCTGTAGTAGATTGGACACAAAAGTTTCAATTATATAATTAGTTATACACTAAGCAATCGTAATCTTTTTTTATTTATTTCTTACCACTTTTCCCTATCCCTTGTTCAACACTTAACCAACTAACGCCACCACTATACCAACTTTTTTACACTCCATTTGGTTGTGCCTTCAACTTTAAGCTAAGGAAAGTCACATAGCAATCATTTTCTTGGTTGTTAAAACCCAACGTCTCCATTGCCAAATCTTCTTAAGATTCAAATTCCCATCTTTTTTCTCTCCTTATAACTTCATCTTGTTTTACTATAAGATTAATTAGAATTTGTAATCCTGAAGAACAGATTACGCAAATTCTTTTGAGTTTTGGAGGAAATGAGCACGGCTAGATTTATCAAGTGTGTAACTGTGGGAGATGGTGCGGTAGGGAAGACGTGTATGCTCATTTCCTACACTAGCAATACTTTTCCAACGGTATGATTTTGTCCTATAACTTTTACAAATATTAGTACTGCGTAAATTTAAAAAAATATATTACGTATTTCTTGTTATTAAACTATTTTATATATTTCTTATTTTACAGGACTATGTCCCAACTGTATTCGACAACTTTAGTGCAAATGTGGTTGTAGATGGCAGTACTGTGAACATTGGCCTCTGGGATACAGCGGGTACTTAAATTTCTATTCTTCCTCGAGGGGGGTCGATTCCAATAGACTTGTTGAAGGGTGCTTTAATCATTCAGCCACCGAGATCCTCGTACACACTGAATTTCAAATTATATAGCATTGTTAAGTATGTACTTATTCAGAATTTCTTAAATCCAGGGCAAGAAGATTATAACAGGCTGAGGCCTTTGAGTTACAGAGGAGCTGATGTATTTCTATTAGCTTTTTCTCTAATCAGCAAAGCCAGCTATGAGAATATTTACAAAAAGGTTAGGTTAGTTATTTTCCCAAATTATTTCATTTTGCTCCTGCAATAACATTACTACCTAATTGTCTGTTAATCGCAGTGGATACCTGAGTTAAGACACTACTCTCCAAATGTACCAATTGTACTTGTTGGAACCAAACTGGGTAAGGCCAATTATTAATTTGATAATTAATTAAAATTTTATTTGTTATGTCGAATAACATGTGTGGTTGTAGATTTACGCGATGACAAGCAATACTTCAGCGATCATCCAGGGGCAACTCCTATAACTAATGCACAGGTAAAGATATACTTTCGCTACAATAGTAGTTCCCGAGCAAAACTTGAATTCAAGAAATTTGTTCTAACCAGGGCGAAGAATTGAAGAAGATGATTGGTGCAGTTACCTATATTGAGTGCAGCGCCAAAACTCAGCAGGTATAATTTTCTGCTAATAAAGACAGACCAATTTCTTTTTTCATTTGTTTCAATTCCAATTTGTAATATGATTGCAGAACGTGAAAGCTGTATTTGACACTGCAATAAAGGTTGTTCTTCGACCCCCAAAAGTGAAGAAAAAGCCACGAAAATCAAGAAGATGCGTATTTCTTTAAATTTATAGTCCCAAATATATATTGTAATATTTTTGAAGTTCCAAATGATGTTAATCATAAAATTTAATACAGAGGACACTGGAAACCAAACTAGAAACAAGTTTAGTTTATATGTAATTTTGTATTGATTTATCTCAAGAAATTTTGTTACGCATAAATAAATATTTTTTTCTTTTGAGTTCTTAGTGTTGCAACGTAAACTAGTATATAAGCTCAATGTCTTTTTGCCTGTTTAATACTCCCTATAGACCAATCAATTAATCATGTAATGGGAGCATACTCAAAGAATTCTCAAATGCCAAAAAAAAAAAA